AGAAGCTGACATGAGGGAGTGGGAGAGCAGAGTTCACAGAATGTGCCGGACACAGGAAGGGACAAGAGGGGACTGGGAAACGGGTATGCACAGTCAGAGCCGAACACACTGTCATTTCAGAGGCAGAGAGGACACCGGAGCGCTGTAACACAGGCGTCCTCACACACATGTCAGCAGACACCTGGTCCACGCAGGGCTAACTGTGTGCTGTGACACAGGCGTCCCCTCACACACGTCAGCAGATAACAGGTGTACGCAGGGCTAACCGTGTGCTGTGACACAGGCGTCCCCTCACACACACGTCAGCAGACACCTGGTGTACGCAGGGCTAACCGTGTGCTGTGACACAGGCGTCCCCTCACACACGTCAGCAGACACCTGGTGTACACACGGCTAACCCAAGCGTCACTTCGGTCACAGCGACCCATTCACTTCGTCTGCTAACCACAGTCACACCCTGGCTGTTGGCCTAATGAGCATAGACTATGACCCAGATTCCCTGGAGTCCCCTGACCCCTGGGACAGGGGGTGTTGTGGGGTGAGGGTCTTGGAGGCCAGCGGGCAGACTTTGGCAGTATGTCATTGAAGGGCAGCCCATGGTGTCTGGAAGCAGGCCAGTAGTCTCCTCCTTTGATTCTGGAGTCTCTGGGAGGCTCTATTGCCAGCGCCCTCCCCACCCCAAGATATGGGAGTGGTGTCTTTCCTGCCAGTGCTGACTGGCCTCTCCCACAGTGGGTATCAGGACGCCCTGGGGAGGCTGTGCCAGGCAGCGAGCCCAGGCAGGGGGTGAGGAGGGGACTTTGACAGCAGAAATGCCTGGAGGGAGCCCTGGCCACCTTCCCACACCTCTGTCAGTGACCAGGTCTCATGGAGCTGTCCCCACCCCAGCCTTGGTCCCAGTTCTTCCTACAGTTTGCTGGGGTGGCCTGGCCCTCTGAGCCCAGCCAGGCCTCCATCCAGGGGCCAGGGGTCAGGGGCCCCCCTGGGCTCCCAGAGAAGGGAAATCACGGGGTGGCCCAGCCCAGACCTCCATCCCTGGCTCTTCTGGTGGCCGAGGGAGGCCTGACCCTCCGCCAGGGCCTGGGGAGGGCGCTGGCCGCAGGCAGCTAGGTCAGTATTTGTTGACTGACTAACCGATGGAGAACCCAGCCGCTGGGCCGTGGGGTGTGTCCTCGGGCGGGCGGGCGAGCGGGAGCCCAGCCGGCATTGAGTTACCGCTGGGCTGGGGGAGGGCAGTGCCCGGCCCAGCGCCGCCGCGGGCTGCCAGGGCACCGAGCGCTTTGCTTTCCGGCAGGTAGGTCTGGCAAAGGGGGCGCGGGCACAGCTGGGCAGGGAGGGCCTGCGGACTCCGGAAGGGGCTTCCGAGTCAGGGGTGCAGGGTTCGGGGGCGCAGAGGGGCGGGCAGAATTGGAGAGGTGCTGGCGGCCCCATATTGAAACGGCTGATGGGGGAGGGAGGCTGTGCCCTGACACCCGGCCCGTGGGGACCAAAGTGGACGTGGTGGGGATCTTGTCCACCTACAGAGTCCGTGCGCCTGGGGCCCGAGGCCCCCTTACTCCCACCTGAGCAGATAGCGCCCCTCCTCCCTCTTTCCAGGAAGTTGGACAAAGTAACCTCAGGACCCGCCCCTTTGCAGGTACCTGAAGAAGGAGGAAGGGCACACCTGAGGGGGAAGAGGGGAAAGAGGGGGACGAGGGGCACCTGGGAGGGAGGGGGTGCCGGTGGAGAGAAGGGGCAGGGGGAAGGGAGGGTGCACCTAGGGGAGCAGTGGGCACAGGGAGGAAAGAGGAGGTGCCCAGGGGAGGGAGGGTGCGTCTGGGGGAGCTGTGGGCCCAGGGAGCGAAGAGGGGGTGTCCAGGGGAGGGAAGGTGTGTCTTCAGGAGTAGTGGGGCACAGAGAGGAAAGGGGGGTTGCCAGGGGAGGGAGGGTGTGTCTTCAGGAGTAAGGGGGCACCCTGGGGAGATAAGGGGTACCCCAGGGGAAAGAGAGGGTATCAGGGAGAGAAGGGGGCTTCCAGGAGGAAGGGGAGGACACCGGGGTGAGGTCATGGTGGGGAGTGGGAGGGAGTTCTCCAGGGGAGAGAGGGGACATCTGGGGAAGGAGGGGCTGTGGAGGATAGAGGGAGCACTCTGGTAAGGGAGGGGGAGGATGAGGTCCCCTGAGGGAAAGAAGGAGGCACTAGGGTAGCGGGACTCCACCCTTTGAGCATCCCTTCCCCATGACTCTCCCCAGACCCAAGGTGGGAGATGGTGCACACAGGGTGCATGGGGATGGGGTGCCTCAGACCCTGGGTGCCTGGTGGAGGCTGAGAGTTTTGCTCCCCAGGCTGGGGCTGGATATGGGGGCGGGGGAGGCAATGCTGCCCCCTCCCAGTGAAACCAGCCAAGTCCCAGCTTCCTGACTGTCCTTGACTTTCCTGCCACAGGGCGCCCTGAGACCTGTCACTTTGTCACTAATTTACACTGTTACGTGGTCTGTATCTCATCGTTCCTGTCTGTGTGAGGCCCTAGTCACTATGACTGCCTGTGTCCCCCTGCTGTAACTGCTTCTGTCTGTCCTGCCTCACGTGTCACTATGTCTGCCTCTCAGTGCCATCCCACGTTTTCTGTTGCTTGAGGTCACCGTCACATGGTCACATCGCTGTCACAGGTCACAGCATATGTGCCTGGTGCCACCCTCACGTGGGTACAGTGCCTGTCCCTCAGTGTGACTGTGTGGTGTCTGCTTGTCCTTTTGGGCCACCATCACAGTCACAGTGCGTGTCACTCAGGATCGCCATCACATGACCCCCGTGTCTTCCTGTCACTCATGTCACTGTGACACCAGCAGGGCATTGCCTGCAGCAGCTGCTCCAGGTGCACACACACCATGTCCTCCCCCATTCATTCTCACTCAGTGCCATCCTGGGCCACACACTTCATTCATTCAGCAAACATTTACTGAAATGTTGACAAACTGGAAAACGTAAGCCATGTCACTGGACAGTTTGTGTAGAAAATCATTAAATGGGAACCTTATTTGCTGTGTAAACGTTCCCCCAAAACACAATAAAATATTATTTAAAAAAAACAAAACTAATATTTACTGAGCACCCACTAGGTGCCCAGCAGCTGGGATCCGGTAGAAATACCACAAGTGGATGCCTTTAACAAAGAGAAGTTTATTCTCTCACAGTGTAGGAGGCTAGAAGTCCGAATTCAGTGTGCCAGCTCCAGGGGAAGGCTTTCTCTCTGTGTCGGCTCTGGGGGAAGGTCCTTGTCATCAATCTTCCCTTGGTCTAGGAGCTTCTCAGCACAGGGACCCCAGGTCCAAAGGATGCGCTCTGCCCCTGGCTCTTCTTTCTTGGTGGCAGGAGGATAGAGGTCCCTCTCCTCTCTGCTCAATTTTCACTTTTATATCTCAAAAGAAATTGACTCAAGATACAACCTAATCCTGTAGATGGAGTCTTGCCTCTTTAGCATAACTGCCTCTAATCCTGTCTCATTAACGTCATAGAGGTTAGGATTTACAACACATAGGATAATTACATCAGATCACAAAATGGCGGACAGCCACACAATACAGGGAATCATGGCCTAGCCAAGTTGACACACATCTTTGGGGGACACAATTAAATCCATGACAGAGGGGCTGCCTGCTGTGGTGAATCCAGCTCACACTCCTGGCAGGCTGCCCTCTCTGCCTGCCCTGCCCACAGCCTCCCTGGCCAGCCAGCATGACTCAGCTCGGGGCAGCATCCCCCGCGGCGTCCCCCTACTTCCATAGCCACCTTGGCTCTCTGAGACAGCTGGGTGTTTCCCACAGCGTACTGTAAGCTCATTAGGGCCCGGCCCTCAGGGGCCCTGCACAAAGGTGTAAGGAATGCGACTCTGTGCCACCCTGCCCCACTTGTCTCTGATTCTGTAACTCTGTATCTCTCCTCTCACCCTGTCTGCGCTAGTCACCCAGGTCAGCAGAGCCAAGGGCGTTCTGGCTGCTGATAAGACACGGCTGGAGTCGGGGAGAGGGAAGTTATCATCATACCATGGCTACCAGGAATGGGAAGTTCAGAAAGAAGTGACTTCTGGGTCTATTGAGCAAAGCAACAGCAAGAAGAGAAAGTTGCAGCTGGCAGGATTTAGGTTAGATGTGCAAAGAACTTCCATGGATGAAGCAATGATCAAACTCCACACAGAGTTTGTCTGTTTGCTTGCAGGGAAGCCTCAGGTAGTGGAGAGTGAAGAAAAGAGCAGACTCTGACCTGCTCAGATGTAACAAAATCGAAAATCCCCTTCATCCCCAGATACCTCTCACTCCATACTTCTCTCCCTCCTCTACACACTCAGAACCACAGAGCACAACCCCGGGTGAGCTGAGTCTCTGTTTGCAGAGCCTGTGGTTGTTTGCAGAGTCTGTATGTATTAACAGAGTTCAGCCCTGTTTCAAGAACTTGTCTAGAGTGCCTATGCCTGATTTGCTCAACTTGCTCATGACAGCTGAGCCTGAAGCTGTCACAGTCTTCAGAATCAGTCCTCGTATGCAGATTCTGTCCTGGGTTTGCAGAACCTGTCCCTGTTTGCAGAACCTTTTTCTTGTCTGCAGAGCCTGTGTCTGTCCTGAGTGTAACTATTTCCAGAGTCTGTCTTTTTTAGGACCTGGGTCTCCTAGAACAGTCTGTCCCTATCTCCCTGTGTGTAAGATCTGCTTTAATTGCAGACTGCCCTGCATGCAGCACTCATCCCTGTCCAAGAGCTTATCTAGTGCACTTGTGTGCAACACCTCTTTCTGCCAAAAGATGCTGTCTCTGCAAAGCTTTCTCTGTGTACAGTACCTCAGAATCTGTTTCCTTCGCGATGAGTGTCTCTGTCTCCAGAATATGTCTTTGTTTGCAGAACCTTTTCCTGTTTGAGAGCTGGTTCTGTCTGCAGAACTTGAGATCTATTTGTAGAGCATATGACATTTTTCAGGACCTTTGCCTGTTTGCACAGCCTACCTGCATTTCCCCGAGTAGAAATGTGCCTGCTTGCAGGGTTTGTTCTTATGAAGAGTTTATTGCTGTCGGGGGTAAGCTGTGTCTGTCTGGGAGCACCTGTGTCTTTCTGCAGAGCACATCCCTGTCTGCTGAGCTTACGCCTGCCTGCACACTCTATTCCTGTTTCCGTGTGCTCCTGTTAGTAGAGCCTTCCCCTACTGACAGAGCCTTGATCTGTTTCCAGAGCTTATCCTTTCCTACTAACTCTATGTCTGTTTTCAGAACATGGGACTGTCTACAGAACTCAGCCCTGTTTCAAGATCTTGCCCATGTCTGGAGCATCCGTGCTTGAACACACAAATGTTTTCCCTGCCGGCAGATCCTGTCCCTCTCTGGAGAAGGTGTTACTATTACAGAGCCTGTCTATCTGCAGAGCCTGTGTACACTTTTAAAACCTCCCTATCTGCAAAGCCTCTGTCTGTAGAGCCTTTGTATGCAGAGCCTGTGTGCACTTGTAAAATCTCCCTATCTGCAAACCTTCTGTCTGTAGAGCCTTTGTATGCAGAGCCTGTGTCTTTTTTCAGACCTGAATCTCTTCGCGGAGTTCGTGCTTGTTTGCCCAGTCTGTTCCCATCTCCCTAAATGCAGGATTTGAGTCTCTTTGCAGAGGCTGCCCTATATGCGGAGTCCTGACCATGTGTAGAAAGCTTTTGCCTGTTTCAGCAGCCTGCCTCTGTCTGGGAAGCATTTCTCTGCCTGAAGATGCTGTCCTTGTTTGCAGAGCCTTGCCTGTCTACAAAACTGTATCTGCAGAGCCTACCCCTTATGCAAACAATCTTTGTCTTAAGGGTCTGCCCTCCATCCACATTTGCAGAGCCATTTCCAGTCAGCAAAGCTCCTCCATGCCTGCAGAACCTGTGACTGCTTGTAGAACCTTTTGCAGCATTCAGAACCTTTGCTTGTTTTCCCATCCTGTCTAAATTTCCCTAAGTAGAGCCTGTGTCTCTTTGCACAGGCTCTCCTTGTGCACATAGCTGGTCCCTGCCTACAGAATTCATCTCTGTCAGGAGAACCTGTCTATTGGAGCATATATGCCCATCTTTGGAGTCCATCCTTTTTGTGGAATTTGTCCTCATTAGTAAAGCTTTTACCTGTCTCAGCCTTCCCTGTCTTGAGTCTGTCCTTGTTTGCAGAGCCTGTCCTAGTCTCTAGAGTGCATGCCTTTCCATGTAGACTTTCTCCACTCCCCTTCCCATTTTTCACTCTGTCCCTGTTTGCAGAGCCTGTGCCTGTTGACAGAGCCTATCTCTGTTTGCATTGCCTTTTTCTATGTGCATAGCTGGTTCCTAACTCTGTCGGAAGACCCCGGTCTATTTGCAGTTCTGTCCTTATGTGCACAGCCTACTTTGTTACAGGATTCAGCCTTATTTCAAGAGCCTGTCCTTGTTTGCAGAGCCTCTGCCTGTTGACAGAGCCTATCTCTGTTTGCATTGCCTTTTTCTATCCACACAGCCTGTTCCTAACTCTGTCTGGAAGAGTCGGGTCAATTTGCAGTTCTGTCCTTATGTGCACAGCTTATCTTTGTTACAGGATTCATTCCTGTTTCAAGAGCCTATCCCTGTTTTCCAGGAACACTGGTGGCAGAGTAGTTAAGTGCTTGGCTGCTAATCAAAATGTCAGCAGTTCGAACCCAGCAGCTGCTCTGTGGGATAAAGATGTGGCAGTCTGCTTTTGTAAAGATATGCGGTCTGGAAACAGTAGGGGCAGTTCTACTCAGTGGTGCCACTAGGGTTGGTGTCACCCAGTGCAGTAACTCATGGTGTCACCCAGCCATGGACCTCCTCCCGTACCAGACCATACAGACTCCTTAGTAATGTTTATCATCAATTTTAATCATAGAATATGTGATAAACATAGTTGTAAATTGCTTAAATGTAATATTTCTTAGATTATAATAATACTAACAACAAAACTGTTTTGTAAAATATTTCTACAGTGAATTACAACAGAATTAATAACTGAGCAGAAGCCTTTTTTTTCTCCTTCTTTTCCTTTAATTACTACTTCATTCTCAAAAAAGTTATTGATACAGGTACACAAATACTAATTACTACAATATGGTAGCTAGGACGCCAGAAAATGTGACAAAATCAGTGCTATAAAATGCCGGCAGCAATGAAAACAACAGTGTGCCTGTAGAGTGTGCAGACGAAGCCATGTGATCTGAAGCATCACTGTAATTGGGTAATAATGACAGCTCTGAACAGAGTGCATTAGAAGTTCAAAAAATAAATTAGTATAGAGTTTTAGCCTTGTAGGTATATTGATATGTGTAAGCTGGGCTTACGAGAAATGTTTTAGTTGTTACAACTAACTACAGGGTATTTTTATAAAAAATAATAAATTTCTGTGGAAACACTGCACAGAAATCTTATAGATAGTCATGTTGGTGTCATCCCCTCTGACAGTGTCACCGGGTGTGGTCTGCACCCCCTGCACCCCCCTAGTGACACCGCTGGTTCTACTTTCTGTCCTATAGGGTCACTGTGAGTCGTATTCAAATCAACAGCAGGTTTGAGCCCTGTTTGCAGAGTCTGTCCCTGCCTGCAGAATCTGTTCCAATTAGCAGAGCCTTTGCCTGTCTGTAGAGAGGTTCTCTGGCTCTGGAGACTGCGTCCATATGCATAACCCATCACTGTCTACAGAGACCGTCCCTAGCTGCAGGTCCTGTGACTGCATGCAGAGGTTGTCCCTGTGTGCAACTCCTGCCCCTGCCACAGAGCTTAGCCCAACCACACACAAAAACCAAATCCCTGTTTGCAAAGCCTCTGCAGGCCGCTCTGCAATGCCTGTCCTGGTTTGCTGACATGTGTCTGTTTGCAGAGCCCTCCAAATGGAAGTCACGTTCTGTGGCGAAAGTGCTTTGGAGAGCTGTAGGTGAAGAGAGTTCTCGCCTGGAGCCCGAGTGCAGATGGCCTCCAGCCTGAGAACTCTGGCTCTTGTTCCTTGCTTTCTCCCTCCTCCCGCCTGACCTAGGATGGACATCGGCAAGGGCCTTCCGGCCATCGAGTGCCATAGGGCCCTCCAAATATGGATCATTGAGGTGAGGGGCCTGATGCACAGCAGAGATGGTGGCACAGAGAGCGTGGGGGCTTCAAGATGAGGCTTCTCTCCCCACCCACCCCAGCTGGTGTCTTGGGGGGGGGGTGTCTACTGCGTTGTCACTGTGGACCCTCCTCTCTCAGAACCTGAAGATGATGACGGTACCTGAGAGGGCTTACGGTCACTTCTTCGAGGCACACTGCTACATCGTCCTCCACGTGAGTTGTTTGGGGAGTCTGTCTGAGGGGGTGACATGGGCCCGGGAGTCTGACAGCCCAGACATGAGTTCCACCCTGGGAAGAGGCAGGCTGAGAGATCCAGAATCACATCACCCAAGGGGGCTACTGCCTTGCGGGGCGGCCCTTCACCCGTCCCTCCCCCTTTATGATCTCCTGGGTGGGTGGAAGCAGCTGTCCAGTGTTTCCCACGCCCCCACAAACACACACCTCGCTCCCCCTCAGAGCCCGAAGGCCACCCAGGGGGAGTCCAGCGACCTGCACTACTGGGTGGGTGAGGCGGCGAGCGCGGAGGCGCAGGACGCAGCGGCTACCCTGGTGCAGCGTCTGCACGAGGCGCTGGGCGACAGGACGGTGCAGCACCGCGAGGCGCAGGGCCACGAGTCCCACTGTTTCCTCAGCTACTTCCGCCCAGGAGTCATGTGAGCCCGGGGACAGGGGAAGGGGGCAGGGCAGTGGTGTCGCTGCTTGAGCTGGGGCAGCGTTGGGGTGACCATCGCTCCGATCCGGTAATGTGCGTGCAGTGTTTGTTTTTTTTCTTTTTTGTAACACCTTTGTTGAGATGCAGTTCACATACCATACAATTCGTCCATTTAAAGTGCAAAATTCAGTGGTTTTTAGTATGTTCACAGTCTTGGGCAGCCATTACCACGACCAATTTTGGAACATTTTCATCGCCTGGTAGAGGTACTCCGTACTACTTAGCACTCACTCCCCATTTCCTTCCATTGCCTCCTCCCTCCCCCGCAGCCCTAGGCAACCACCAATCTACTTTCTGTCTATAGAGATGCCTGTTCTGGACAATTCATGTAAATGGAATCCTACAATACGTGGTCTTTTATAATGGTGTCTTCACTACCCATCTCTTCAAGGTTCATCCAAGTCGTACCACGTATAAGTACTTCATTCTTTTTTACTGCTGAATGGTGGTGCAGTGGTTAAAGCTCTTGGCTGCTAACCAAAAGGTCAATGATTCAAACCCACTAGCCTCTCCGTGGGAGAAAGATGTGGCAGTCTGCTTCCGTAACGGTTTACAGCCTTGGAAACCCTATGGGGCAGTTCTACTCTGTCCTGTAGGGTTGCTATGAGTCGGAATCGACTCGCTAGCAGTGGGTTTGGTTTTCTGACGTTACATGGGAATAGCACATTTTATTTATCCACTTTTCAATTAATGGACATTTGAGTTGCTTCCACTTTTAGCTAATTATGAACAATGCTGTATAAACACGTATGTACAAGTTTCTGTGTGGATGCATGTGTTTGATTTCTCTTGGGGTATATACCTAAGATTGGATGCCAGTATGGTCTTGAGTTTGCTTTTATGTTATCCTGCCCAGTAAAAATATGTCTTTTGCTGTAAATTGATTCAAATGTTTTTTTAAATTAATAATTGCAGTGTATTCAGGCTGAACCATGGGGAAATGGCCAATATTCTCCCATTTCAGTTTCATACAATCGAGCCTAATACGTGCATATACTGTATCCGCAAACACATGCGCGCATGTGGACACGCACGTGCAGGAACTCGCCGCCCCCTGTGTGTGCCCACCGACAGATGGGCACACCTACACATATACGTGAATATACATGTCCACCCACACACAAATATCCTGGTGCCCGCATTCCGTGCACTCATACCTACACTCACACGGATAAACAGATACACAGTACACCCCACGTGCGTGCACAAATGGATAAACAAATGTACGTTTATACCCCTGCATGTGTACCCGTGAACATGTGCATGCAGGCGGTCCCATCTATTCACGCACGTTGATTAAACAGGCACGTGCTTCCCCCAACACGTGTACATGCGTGTGCCCACACCTGCACTCACTCCTGCACATGGCAGTGTGCGCTTTTACACGAGACCCTATTCCTTCCTCAGCTACAGGAAGGGAGGCCTTGGCTCTGGCCTTAAGCTCGTGGAGACCAACATTTACAGCATCCGGAGACTGCTGCATATCAAAGGCAGGAAGCATGTGTCGGCCACAGAGGTGAGGGCCACCAAGGATGCCACCTGACCCTGGACCTCGGGACGGAGCGTGGATGGAGTGTATGGGGAGTATAGGGAAGTGTGGAGGTTGGCAGGTGGAGGTGGGCACTCCAGGGCAGCAGGTGGTCAGCATTCCCAGATGCCTGTCTTGAGTGAGGAGAGAGAAGGCAGAGCCAGGCTGCTAGACCCCCTGTGCCACTGTCTGCCTGACCGTCTCTGGTTTCCTCACTGTTTCGTGGGCGGATGATAACCTGGGGAGGCGAGCTGGGCAAGATGTCGGCCTGGATGGTCACACATTCATTGTCACCCAGCAGCAGACACACTGTCTTCCCACTGTTTCTCCCAGGGCCACTCAAGTCCATGTAGCACCTTTGTGCAAATTAGAAAAGGTGCCCCTTACTTCCATTTGTCAGGAACTTATCACCAGATACTCGTTGTGTTAGCACAAGGCAGGAATTTGGTGTCACGAGCATTCAGGTGTACAGTATGTGCCGTGTGAGAGGTAACCCTTGAGCTGTGCACCTACAGATGGACACACACGTGAATATGCATGTCCGCCCACACGCTGTCCCCTGCAGATCTGGCGACCATACATCCCCGGTCCTGCAGGGGTGCCATGCAGCCCCAGGTTTTACCTGTTATCCTGGCATAAGTATTTAGAGCACCCCCTTTTACTCTCACACGTATCTCAGCATGAACGGTAACTATCCCTATTCGTAGGTACACGCTGTCCCCCACACAGGCACACGTACAGTCACCCATGAGTGCACACACTTAAGTCACATTTTACATGCCCCCGCCTATGTGCACGTGTGATAGCGTGCACCCACGTGTGTACACATGTACAGTCACAGGCACACATAGAAGGGTCATGCTCAGCCACGCATGCCCCGTGACATGCGGCATCGCCTACAGCCACACATGCCTGCAGATGCAGTCACGGCCACAGAGTGATCCTCAGAGTCCGGCATGGTTACACAAATGCATGTCTGCACCGCTGACAGGCGCTGTCCTGGTCCCATGTAACCTGGTTGCACACGTAGTGACACGCCCCAGCTACAGTCATGCAGGCAGAGGCAGGCTGAGGTACCCCTGGAGCTGGGGCTGGTGGTCTGACACCCCTCTCCTTCCCTAACCTCCTGGCTCTGGCAGGTGGAGCTTTCCTGGAACAGCTTCAATAAGGACGACATCTTCCTGCTGGACCTAGGCACGGTGATGGTCCAGTGGAATGGACCCAAGTCCAGCATCTCTGAGAAGGCGCGGGTCAGTGTCTGCCCGGGAATCAGAGGGTGCAGGGCTTGGGGAGGAGGCTGGTCCTCCAGGTGTGCATCCTCCAGCCACCCCGAGGGGTCCACTTGGTTCACCTGTACAACCTGAGAAGCACCTATCGGGTGCCAGCTGAGTCCAGATCCCGCACTGGTGATTGGTGCCCCTGGATGCCAGGATGAAGGGACACCGCTTCAGCCCTGATCCCAGCCTTGGGGGTGGATCTGGGTTGGACTGTCCGAGGGGTGAGGGGGTGCTCTGGGGAGCCCTGACTGCTAGGTGCTCTCTCTTAGGGGCTGGCCCTGACCTACAGCCTCCGGGACAAGGAGCGTGGTGGTCGTGCACAGATTGGTGTGGTGGACAATGAGGCTGAGGCCCCCAACCTCATGCAGATCATGGAGGCCGTGCTGGGCCGCAGAGCAGGCGGCCTGCACGCTGCCGTGCCCAACAAGAGTATGAACGTGCTGCAGAAGGCCAGTGTCCGCCTCTACCAGTGAGCAGACCTGGGGGGAGGGTGGGGTGCGCGGGGCATGTCCCTCGTGACTGTGGTAACAATGTCTCTAGAAAGCCCTCCAGAAAACACCCTTGGGTTTCTGGGACAGGCCATGTGGGACCTTGGGCCCGCCTACACCCTTGCATGATGTGAGGCTACCTTGCCAAGAGATCCATTGTACAGACAGGGAGACTGAGGCCCAGAGGGGGAGCTGTTTGAGGCTCCACAGCAAGACTGCCATGAAGTCAGAACACTCAGGACCCCAGCCTCCATTCCCTCTGCCTCTAGGAGGCTGGAGGGGGCGGGGTGGAGCCTGGCCAGGGAAAGGCTGGGCTGTCCACACCTGGATGCTTGTTCCCAGTGTCTACGAGAAGGGCAAAGACCTGGTGGTCCAGGAGCTGGCAACCTGCCCACTGACCCAGGACCTACTGCAGGAGGAGGTGAGGCAGGCTGGGCTCTAGCCACCCCCAGCCACCCCCATCCCCCAACTCCAGCCCAGTCGGGACCACTGTTCACCGGCCCCATGCTTGCTCCCAGAACTGCTACATCCTGGACCAGGGGGGCTTCAAGGTCTACGTGTGGCAGGGACGCAGGTGCAGCCTCCAGGAGAAAAAGGCTGCCTTCAGCCGGGCAGTGGTGAGGCCTTGGGGCCCTGGACTCTGAGTGGGGAGGCAGCCTTGCCCTAGATTCTGGTAGGGGGGTCTGCCCTGGTGTCTGCACTGGGAGACATCTCTGTCCTGGGGGCTGAAGGGGGAGGTAGTCTTGTGCTGGCTGTGAAGGTGGATACACCCTGCCCCGGGGGCCCTGTCTGATGACCAGGACATGACCCTGCCCTGGGGGCTAAGCGGGGGACAGCACCGCCCTATCTGAGGGAGCAGACACAGCTCTGCCCAGGAGACTGGGGAAGACGGGGCCCCTCTCGGATGTGTGCCCGCCCTGGGAGCCGTCACTGGGGGACAGACCAAACCGCACCCAAGAAGCCATGTGTTAAAGTGGGTCGTGGCCCTGCCTGCAGATCTGAGGAGAATACAGTCTGTGCTGGGCGCCCCCTTCTTTCCAAGGGGGTTGACAGGGCGCTGCCAAGAGTCTGAGGGGGAGTCAGGGCCGGCCCTTCCCGAGGCCGGGACTAAGGGGACCCCGGCCTTCCTCGAGGGCCTGGGAGAAGTCTGTAGTGGGAGTCAGCCGTTAAATGGGTCATGAGCTCCGGTAATTAACTGCTGCAAGCCTGCTCAGGGCTCTATAATGAACTGTTCGGGGCTCCTGCAGCCTGGGCGGGAGGTCTCCGGGGCAGAGCGGAGCAGGGGCCCCAGGCCTGACGGAGCCCCCGCCCCAGGGCTTCATCCAGGCCAAGGGCTACCCGATCTACACCAACGTGGAGGTGCTGAACGGCGGCGCCGAGTCGGCCGCTTTCAAGCAGCTCTTCCGCACGTGGCCTAAGGAGCAGGGCAAGAACAAGAAACTCGGAGGGACAGGTGAGCGGGCGGGCGGGGCCGGC